AAAAAAAAAAAAAAAAAAAAGGCTGGGCGCGGTGGCCGCACCTGTAATCCCAGCAGCTTGGGAAGCTGACGCTTGGGAGGCTGGGGCGCCAAGAATCACTTGAACCCTAGAGGTGGAGGCTGTAGTGAGCTGAGACTGCGCCACTGCATTCCAGTCGGCGACAGAGCGAGATTCTGTCTCAAAACAAAAACAAAAACAAAAGCCTAGGGCTTCGGAGTCAGGAAGATGGAATTGGGAATTGGAATTTCAGTAATGGTCTCTCAGTTTCTTAGCCATGTGACCTCGGACAGCTCTCTGAGCCTGTTTCCTCCTCTGCGAAATAAGGTACTACAGTCGGCTCTACCGCCTCACGCAGCAAGAGCAGGGGCGACATTTAGGGCAGTCATTAACGCCCTGGCAGGAGCGCGGATGGTTCGAGCCCAGGGCCCAGCAGAGAGGGCGTCTCGTAGCACACTGAGGTCTGACAGTGCGCGTCCCCACATCTAATTGAATCTCTACTACGACGTGTGTGGATTCCAGCTCCCTCAGAAGCAGACCCTGAGAGAAGGACTGAAGTGCAAGCAGCTATGTGGGAGCTGATCCCAGGAAGCGCCTGTAGGGGACAGGGGAAAGGAGCCGCCCAAGTCCCTGCAGGGACTTCACTGAGAAATAAATGACTGAGGCTTCCGCTGTGGACAACCGGGCTCAAGCCTGTTGGGACCTTCACATCGACTGGTCGGTAGGAAGGAAGCCTGGCTGGGGCCCACGGCTCCTGCCCTGGTTGAGGGAGGGCCGCGCCCCTCGCCAGGCTCCTGCAGCCCAAGGTAGAACTGCCTGCGCCCCCGGGGTGCTGCGCACAGTAATGAGTAGGGGCCCAGTTCCCTGCCGGGCTGTGCAGCCTCTCCCTGGTCTCTGTCTACACCGTGGCAGACCTACCCGGGCTGCTCCAGTAGACAGCAGGCTCGCCTCCATCAGGCACCCATGCGAGCGCCCAGAAAGGCTGTCCAGAGCTCCCTCCGAGGGAGGCGGGCCTCGCGGGAGCTGACAGCCGAGGATGGCCTGCTGCCAGCTAGGACAACAGGGTCTGCCCGGGAGCCGTCTATGCACGGCGTCTGTGTCCAGCACATTTGCTCTCTTCCAGAACTCTGACAGGCAGGGTCTCACTGCCAGGTGCCACTCCTCTGAGAACCGTTCCTGGAGAAAAGACCCGTAGGTGTGATCTGTGGAGCGGAGACTTGGCTTCCTGCCAAGCACGCTCTGGTGGGACCCCCCCCAAGCCTCAGGCTTCCTTCACACACACGCAGCACAACCAGCGTCCTAGTGCCTTAGTCTTAAATAGGAGCAGATAGACAAGGATTACTAGGGCGGGAGGGGCAGACACAGCAGAACAAACAGAGACAATTCAGGTAGCAAAGTATTCACACATCATCCTGTGGTTAGATACCATCAGAACTGGAAGATAAAATCTGCACTCATGAATTGAGAATAATCAGGGACAGAGCTCTTGGAAATAGCCTATTATGTATTTATTTTTATTTTTTTTTGAGACGGAGTCTAGCTCTGTTGTCCAGGCTGGAGTGCAGTGGCGTTATCTTGGCTCACTGCAACCTCCACCTCCTGGGTTCAAGTTATTCTCCTGCATTAGTCTCCTGAGTAGTTGGGATTACAGGCATGCACCACCACACCCGGCTAATTTTTGTATTTTTAGTAGAGATGGGGTTTCACCATGTTGGCCAGGCTAGTCTCAAACTCCTGACCTCAGATGATCTGCCTGCCTCGGCCTCCCTAAGTGCTGGAATTACAGACATAAGCCAGTGTACCCAGCTGTTTTTTTTAAAACAAAGTTAAGTAGGTAGGTGGGAGACAAAATTAAGGAAATATCAGGGTAAGAGGGATAGAGAGATGGAAACTAGAAGAGAAAATATAAGAAATGTAGAGACTCATTCTCAGCAGTGCAATATCTAAAAAATTGGAGCTACTTGGGAGACTGAGAATCTCTTGAACCCGGGAGGCGGAGGTTGCAGTGAGCCAAGACTCCACCACTGCACTCCAGCTTGGGTGACAGAGTGAAACTCTGTCTCAAAAA